TCCGGTGGAGTCTCCTTTTCTGGAGGCTTTTAGGCAGAGGCTGCATGGTCATCTCTTGGAAGATGAACTGGATGCCCTCAGGGGTGCCTTCCAGCTCTAGGAAGGGTTCTAGGATTCTGCCCCCACCCCACTTGGTCCAGGGCTCCCTTGGAATCAGGTCCTTATGTTGCCCAAGATGGCAGTGAACAGTTCCTAAATTCCTAAATACTCATGAGAGAATGGGAATGTCTTCACCTGGTGCCAAAAAGGGCTCTCAACAGAAAGGGCTTCCAAAATGCTGGTCCTACCAATCCCCTTATTCTGTGATCTAATGGAGATTAGGACAAGGAACAATGGCTTCGAACTACAGGAAAGGAGATTCCATCTGAACATTAGTGTTCCGTCTCCCAGGAGACTGGTTTGCATTGCCTTTTTAGTTGCTTGGAGTGGCTGCCCCTTGCCTTTCTCTCAGGAGCTGCTGCAGCCTTGCAAAGCCTGGAGTTTAACAGCCAAAGGCGGAAAAAGCCAGTCTGCAAACTCTTTGCAATGATTGGCCTTGGGAGCAACTCTTTGAGCCCGCCCCTGCTCCCGGGGAAAGACTTCCATTTTGGAGTCCTCCCTGCCTGTTCAGTTCTGAAGAAGGAATCTGATGTGCTGGCCAGAAAGATAGCTCCGACAAACCACTGTAAAAAAAATTGAGTTATAGACAGGAATTGAGAACAATTGAGAATTGAGAAATTAAGATAGACAGAGAAGTTTATTGAGAAGAATTGAGTTATAGTTAGATAGATTATACGAGAGTTATAGAGTATAAAGAAAAATAGACATTGAGCTTTGATAACTGAGTTTTATAGAGAGACTGCATTGCCTTATCTCCAAGGCTAATCTGGAGCTTAGATAGATAGGGAAAGATTTGTTCTTTCTAAAAGACAACAGCTCTGGATTAGGGTGAAGGATTCCTGGATCCCTTTGCCACCTGGGGAAAGGCTGACTCAGTAACTTGTGGAGAAGAGAAAGAAGGAATATCTATTTGGTTTTATTAATTGACTGTTCTGTTTGTAACTTTGAGAATATCCTTTTTTGATGTTTAAAACTTGTAATCGACTCAGTTGCTGAGAATCTCAGTCTTCTCAAGAAAAGCACCGGCAGTTCACCCAGACATAGGGAACAGCACATCATAGTTTTGTTTTAAAAGCGTCTGTGTGATGGAACATGAGGAAGAACTTCCTGACTGTGAGAGCCATTCAGCAGTGGAACTCTCTGCCCCAGAGTGTGGTGGAGGCTCCTTCTTTGGAAGCTTTTAAACAGAGGCTGGATGGCCATCTGTCAGGGGTGATTTGAATGCAATATTCCTGCTTCTTGGTAGGGGATTGGACTGGATGGCCCATGAGGTCTCTTCCAACTCTTTGATTCTGATTCTATGAAGACATTTTCCAATTGCTTCACTATATAGAACATGGATACTTTCCACCCACAAAGCCATGCAAACCAAGATTGCAAAGACAGGTGTATCTTGCATCCATTTCCTATAGTTCACCTTTTGTATTTTGTCCTACAAGTGCCCTCCATCCCAGTGGCTCTCCCAGAGTTTCTGCCTCACCCTGAGCAGCTCTAACCCTGTGTTTAGCACCAACATCTACTCCAATGGAACTTTGGACAGGAAAGAAGGGGGAATGCCTCTCTCTTTCCCTTCTCTTTCCTTCAGGTGTAAGAAGGAAGCAATCTGGGGCATAATTCCTCCCACTGGGCATTCCCAGATGTGCAAATCTTGTCCTACTTGGCAGCCCCATGGTTTGGCAAACTGACATTTCCACCCTTTAAGGGCAGAGATAATTGCACCTGGGCGGGTGGTGATGGAGATGGCCTTTCCCCAATGCAGGGCTTGACCTCGTTTCATAGAATCATGGAAAAGATTGTGAAGGAAGTGGTCTGCAAACACTTAGAAACAAATGCGGTCATCGCTAATAGTCAACATGGATTGATCAAAAACAAGTCATGCCAGACTAATCTGATCTCTTTTTTTGATAGAGTTACAAGCTGGGTAGATGCGGGGAATGCCGTGGATGGAGCGTGTCTGGATTTCAGGAAGGCCTTCTTTGACAAGGTCCCCCATGACCTTCTGGCAAGGAAACTAGTCCAATGTGGGCGAGGCAAAACTACGGTGAGGTGGATCTGGAATTGGTTAAGCGGACGAACCCAGAGGGTGCTCACCAATGCCTCCTCTTCATTCTGGAAAGAACTGACAAGTGGAGTGCCACAGGGTTCTGTCCTGGGCCCGGTCCTGCTCAGGATCTTCATTCATGACTTAGATGAAGGGCTTAGAAGGCAGGATCATCAAGTTTGCAGACGACACCAAATTGGGAGGGAGAGCCAATACTCCAGAGGACAGGAGCAGGATTCAAAATGATCTTGACAGATTAGAGAGATGATGGGCCAAAACTAACAAAATGAAGTTCAACAGGGACAAATGCAAGATACTCCACTTTGGCAGGAAAAACGAAATGCAAAGATACAGAATGGGGGACAATGCCTGGCTTGAGAGCAGTACGTGTGAAAAAGATCTTGGAGTCCTCGTGGACAACAAGTTAAACATGAGCCAACAATGTGATGTGGCAGCAAAAAAAGTCAATGGGATTTTGGCCTGCATTAATAGGAGCATAGTGTCTAGATCTAGGGAAGTAATGCTACCCCTCTATTCTGCTCTGGTTAGACCACACCTGGAATATTGTGTCCAATTCTGGGCACCACAATTCAAGAGAGATATTGACAAGCTGGAATGTGTCCAGAGGAGGGCAAATGATCAAGGGTCTGGAGAACAAGCCCTATGAGGAGCGGCTTAAAGAGCTGGGCGTGTTTAGCCTGAAGAAGAGAAGGCTGAGAGGAGATATGATAGCCATGTATAAATATGTGAGAGAAGCCACAGGGAGGAGGGAGCAAGCTTGTTTTCTGCTTCCCTGGAGACTGGACGCAATGGAACAATGGCTTCAAACTACAAGAGAGGAGATTCCATCTGAACATGAGGAAGAACTTCCTGACTGTGAGAGCCGTTCAGCAGTGGAACTCTCTGCCCAGAGTGTGGTGGAGGCTCCTTCTTTGGAAGCTTTTAAACAGAGGCTGGATGGCCATCTGTCAGGGTGATTTGAATGCAATATTCCTGTTTCTTGGCAGGGGGTTGGACTGGATGGCCCATGAGGTCTCGCTGTCAAGGGTGATTTGAATGCAATATTCCTGCTTCTTGGCACAATGGGGTTGGATTGGATGGCCCAGGAGGTCTCTTCCAACTCTTTGATTCTATGATTCTATAATCCATGCATCCCAACAGATGCATTAAAACCTCCAGAGAAAGAAACCCCTTCGGGATTCCCAGGTAGCAGGAGAATCCACTGTTGACTAGCTCTGATCATCAGAGAGTTCTTCCTAATGTTTAGATGGACATTCTTCCCTGTCATTCGAATATTTACTCCATTGTGTCCCAGGTTCTAGAGCAGCAAATAGCAAGCATGCCCATTCCTCCTAAATGGTGTTATGTGATTTCAGCTGCTGCAAAAACCACAGGTTCGGAGCCCAGTTGTTAGAGCTCAGCCTGTGATTGTGTTTCAGGATCCGGGTGCTTTGGATGTGAGGAGTGATGCCGACAATATTGATGCAGAGAATGACCAGGAGATCCCTGTTCAAAGTGTAGTTTCCCATGAGAATGTCCCTGAAGGATGTGGGGGTGATGGTGAATTGCTACCAGAGAGTTCCCATGATTTAGAGCTGGAAAACGGCTCAGCACCAGATACAGAAATTAATGAGCAAATAGATAGATTAGTCAAAACAGAAAAGCCGAAGAATGGCTTTGGCGTTCTGCCAGGCTCCACGAGAGAAAAAGATAAGAGATTCTAAAGTAAAGTGAAACCAATTTCTGAGTGCTTGGGACATAGCTAATGAGGAGATAAAAGTCCCAAGTACAGGATATGTAGTCAGATGAAGCATCATTTGGAATCAAGTCAAGTTCTCATCCTCGTTTCATGGAAGCCTTGCTTGGGAGATTCATATTTAAGTGCCTTTTGTTTCATAGCTTGATTCTTGGATTCTATGATTTTATATTCATGACTTGGATTCATGTTTCCTGGTTTCTTGGATTTTATTAGAGAAGTTTTGACTTTGTTTTCATGGACTTTACTAGACTATTTTGTTCCTGCTTATCTTCTTACCTAATTGGATTTACCTATTTCTTTAAAGTGCTTTTTACTTCACTGCTTTTTAATTATCTTCAATAAAAGGATTGTTTTTCCTACCAACTGTGTGATGTTTAAAGTCAGAGGGCTTTTCCTGTTCTGGAGTGCAATACCAGTATGTCTAGCTTTTTTTATACCAGTATAGCTTTTCATGCGGCCGGATGAGACACAGGTAGGTTGAAGGTAAAATCAGAGGTTTACAGCCAGAGAGGATGTCAGCACTCCAAAGGACTGGCATACCACAATTGTGAATACGTAGCATATTAATTACATTTTGACAGCTATTCAGGAATACCACATCAGAAAATAGAAAAGAATAACTTTTTAGTCATTGTACACTGTACAATGAAAGTAAATGCTTTCACCAGCACAACTCACAAAAACAACACCCATATGCGTTTTTCGGATCTAATGTGTTGTTTAGATCCGAAAAACAAATGAAGTTTTGCACAGCCGTAGTAATTATACCTCTTCAGCTCTCACTCTCAACCCTGGAATGCTACAGGGATGTCTGTTAAGTCCTCTGCTTTACACTTTGTACGCATATGGGATGCCGTGGCTCCCTCACCTTCGCCAGGTGTGCAAGTCCCTCTTTCTCTCTTTGACTGCAGAGGCCAGAATTGGATGTGTGTTCTGTTGTTTCTGGTGCCAGAGAAGAGAAAGGGGAAAGAGTCACAACAAAGGGACTTAGGTAAGAAGGAATATTTGCTTAGTTGGTCAGGAGGCGGGAACAGGTTTCTCAGCCGTGAGTTTTCTGGGGAAAGGCGTGTGCCTGGGTCCTTAAAGGCAGCCAGGCTTGGCAATGAGGGAGCTCATTGCAGCCCTGAGCTCAGGCCCATTGCAGATGCAGAGAGAGCCTTCCAGAGTGAGTGACAGCTGTCAATCTGGATGGGAGGGAAGCCTTTGCTGGACCGGCACCATGCCCTGCTTGGCCAAGGGACCGAGGAGGAGATGGTAAGAACAGCTCTCCAGCACCTTCTTCCCAAAGGAAGGAGATTCCCAGGCATTACTAAACTTCTCTCTTATTGGTGGCTTTGGCTCTTGCAGGAGGGAGATGTGGGGTGCGTCTACACAGCAGAACGAATGCAGTTTGACACCATTTTAACTGCCATGGCTCAATGTTATGGACATTTAGTTCCATGAGCTACAAGCACTATTTGATGGATAAGTCTAAAGATGTATTGTCAAAGGCTTTCATGGCTGGAATCACTGGGTTGTTGTAGGTTTTTTCAGGCTATATGGCCATGTTCTAGAGCAGGGGTAGGGAACCTTTTGCCCTCCAGCTGTGATGGACTTCAACTCCCACAATTCCTTGAGGCTCGGCATTGGGCCAAGGTAAGCCTTTGGGGTGAATGCCGAGCCTCAAGGAATTGTGGGAGTTGAAGTCCACCACAGCTGGAGGGCCAAAGGTTCCCTACCCCTGTTCTAGAGGCATTCTCTCCTGACGTTTCACCTGCATCTATGGCAAGCATCCTCAGAGGTTGGGATGGTGAGGATGCTTCCCATAGATGCAGGTGAAACGTCAGGAGAGAATGCCTCTAGACATGGCCACATAGCCCGAAAAAACCTACAACAACCCAAGTCTAAAGACCTTGCAACTCCAAGGACTCCATAGCATCAAGCCATGGCAGTTCAAGTGCTATTGAACTGCATTAAATCTACAGTGCAGATGCACCGTTACCCACATGCAAATGGTTTGGCAAATGGAAGATGGAAACTGGAGGATGGAAATGGACTTCAGGAGTCAATACTGTTGGTAACTCAGAAAGTTGTTTCCTGCTGGTGTTGATCAAGGAACTATGGCTCAATGCTGTGGACATTTAGTTCCATGAGCGACAAACACTATTTGATGGAGAAGGCTAAAGACCTTGCAAAACTGCAACTCCTGGGACTCCATAGCATCAAGGCATGGCAGTCCCAGTGCTGCTGAACTGCATTAAATGTACAGTGCAGACACACCCTTACCCACATGCAAATGTAAGATGGAAATTGGAGGATGGAAATGGACCTCAGGGGCCAAATCTGTTGGTAACTCAGAAAGTTGTTTCCTTCTGGTATCGATCAAGGAACTGGCATTATTGGATGGATGATGATGGGCATCTGTGACCCACCAAAAGGGCAAGACTAGCTCCATCAGGTCATGCTGGAGGTCTCTCCAGAGTTTCCATGCCCAACCATTGAGGTCCTTTCTGGATTCCTTGCATGGCCTTGGCATGAGGAGGGTCTCCCGCTTGGGTCGTTGGCTAGACTTCTTGCCTGCACTCACTGTCCCACTTAAGGTCCTCATCTGATTAATCCAGGAATATTTGAGGACCACAAAGGCATGGGTGAGGATGTTCAGCTTTAGTTGAATGAGGAGCCACAGATGGGCACTCTGTGGGAGAAGCATCTCTGCTTCTGCATTATTGTCATGTCCTTAATGTGATGCTGACCTTGCAAGAACCCTGGGACCTTCAGCCAGTCCAGAAGAACACAACAAAGGCCAATGATAGCATTCAGAGACACATTAATGACCACACTACATGGTGCAAATACACTGCAGAATGAATGCAGTTTGACACCATGCTAGCCGCCTCGGCTCAATGCTATAGAATCAGGAAAGTTGTAGTTTTACAAGACTTTAACTAGTTTCAGATGGTACCTCACCAAACTACAACTCCCTGGACTTCATAGCATGAAGCCAGAACACAATGCTATGCAATCCAGGAAGTTGTAGTTTTACAAGACTTTAGCTTGGTCCAAATGATGCCTCACCAAACTACAACTCCCTGGACTCCATAGCATAGAGCCAGGACACAATGCTATGCAATCCAGGAAGTTGTAGTTTTACAAGATCTTTAGCTCCTCTACCAAAGAGTGATAATGCCTCTCCAAACTACAACTCTCTGGACTCCATAGCATAGAGCCAGGACACAATGCTATGCAATCCAGGAAGTTGTAGTTTTACAAGATCTTTAGCTCCTCTACCAAAGAGTGATAATGCCTCATCAAACTACAACTCCCTGGCATAGAACCAGGACACAATGCTATGCAATCCAGGAAGTTGTAGTTTTACAAGATCTTTAGCTCCTCTACCAAAGTGTGATAGTGTCTCACCAAACTACAACTCCCTCAGCTCCATAGCATAGAGCCAGGACAGTCACAAGTGGGACTAAACTGCATTCACTCTTCCATGTCTGCGCACTGAGAGAACATTATGGACCTTGCAAACCTACAAATCCCGGGATCCCATCGCATTGAGCGATATAAGTTCAAGTGGGGTAAAACTTCATTTAGTCTTTATCCTTTGCAAAACTACAACTCCCAGGATGCTGGTGTTTTACACACATGTCGCTTGTTGTTTTACACACAAGTATTTTCTTGTTTGCGTGTAGTTATCCCTCTTTCTTTGGCCATGCATTCAAGTGACAGCTTCATGGCTGCACTCTGATTAGTGTCCCTGTTGTGTGTCAAAGGCGTGCATTCCTGGATGATGATATCTGGAGTATCACTTCCTTCATTGGAAAGGTGGAAACTTCATTGGAAAGGTAGAGGCCTCATTGGAAATGTGGAAACTGCGCATGATTCCCCGTCATGATACACATGGCAAGCCTCCAGCAATAGGAGGAAGAGTGTAACCATATGGGGTAAGCTCTCCAAAGGCAGAAAGGTTGCGCAAGAAAGGAATCCTGCAGCATCTTTGAAGTCAACAAAGAAAAAGAGGTTTGCAACACAAACTTTTGCAGGTATGACTTGCTTCCCAAATGCACCACTTTGCTATGTGAGTAGATTTGCATTGGGAAAGCAGCATGGTGTAGTGGTTTGAGTGCTGAACTACGACTCTGGAGTTCAGGGTTTGAATCCCTGTTTAGATATGGATAACTTTTGGCAAGTCACACTCTCTCAGCCTCTGAGGAAGCTGAATAAGTCTTGCTAAGAAAAGCCCATGAGAGCCTTAAGGTCACCACATGTCAGAAATACAATAATATCATAGCAACCACTAGGTAGGCTCAGATGTAATAGATCCAAAGTGAAAGCATGGTTGGCAATGGTCATATCATAGAATCAAAGAGTTGGAAGAGACCTCATGGGCCATCCAGTCCAACCCCCTGCCAAGAAGCAGGAATATTGCATTCAAATCACCCCTGACAGATGGCCATCCAGCCTCTGCTTAAAAGCTTCCAAAGAAGGAGCCTCCACCACACTCGGGGCAGAGAGTTCCACTGCTGAACGGCTCTCACAGTCAGGAAGTTCTTCCTCATGTTCAGATGGAATCTCCTCTCTTGAAGTTTGAAGTCATTCATTGTTCCCTTGCATCCTAGACTCCATGGAAGCAGAAAGGAAGCTTGCTCCCTGTATCGTCGAAGGCTTTCATGGCCGGAATCACTGGGTTGTTGTAGGTTTTTTCGGGCTGTATGGCCATGGTCTAGAGGCATTCTCTCCTGACGTTTCACCTGCATCTAGGGCAAGCATCCTCAGAGGTAGTGAGGTCAGTTGAAACATTCACACGTAGCTCCAGCAGAAAAGAGTCCTTTGTCTCACCCTGGTCATTCCACAGATATATAAACCCTTTTTCCTAGTTCCAACAGACCTCACTACCTCTGAGGATATAAATCTCAGCAGGCACAACTCCTAAATGTCAAGGCCTATTTTCCCTAAATACACCAGTGTTCACATTTGGGCATATTGAGAATTTGTGCCAAGTTTGGTCCAGATCCATCATTGTTTGAGTCCATAGTGCTCTCTGGATGTAGGTGAACTACAACTCCAAAATTCAAGGTCCATGCCCACCAAACCCTTCCAGTATTTTCTGTTGGTCACGGGAGTTCTGTGTACCAAGTTTGGTTCAATTCAATCATTAGTGGAGTTCAGAATGCTCTTTGATTGTAGGTGAACTATAAATCCCAGAAACTACATCTCCCAAATGACAAAATCAATCCCCCCAAGTCCACCATTATTCAAATTTGGGCGTATTCGGTATTTATGCCAAATTTGGCCCAGTGAATGTAAATATATCCTGCATATTAGATGTTTACATGACGATTCATAACAGTAGCAAAATGACAGTTATGAAGTAACAACGAAAATAATTTTATGGCTGGGGGTCACCACCACATGAGGAACTGTATTAAGGGGTCGCGGCATTAGGAAGGTTGAGAACCACTGACCTAGAGCTTCAGAGAGCTTCTGTTCAACCATTTCAAAGCTCCCTGTTTGAGCAGTGATGGCAGCATCGTCAGCATAGATGAAGCTCTCTGTCCCTTCTGGCAGTGGCTGGTCATTTGTGTAAATGTTAAACATGGATGGAGCAAGCACGCTTCCCCGAGGCAGGCCATTCCTCTGTTTTCACCATCTGCTTCTCTGACCCTGGAACTCAACAAAAAAAGCTCCTGTTTTGTAGTAAATTGTCTTTGAAGATAATATCTATGTCCTCTTCTAGCTGTGCCTGGGGGCATGTCTATACACTCTAAAATGAATGCAGTTTGACCCAACTTTGGCTGCTATGGCTGAATGCTATGGAACCCTGGGAGGTGTAGTTTGGTGACGTACCAGTACTCTTTGACAGAAAGACCTTGCAAAGCTGCAACTCCCATTATTCCACACATTTGGCCTTGCTTGTTAGAGTGGGGTCAAGATGCCTTACTTTGCAATGTAGTAGATGAAATTGAGAAAATGTTCTCTGCTATTTTGCAAGAGGAATGAGACAGTTACACTCCAGAATTACTCTATCTAAGTTTCAAAATCTGAATGTCACAACCTTCTCCAAACACATTATCTTCCTGCTCGTCCTTTTAAAGTCTTAATTAATTTTATGTTGCTTCGCACCTTCACCTACGCCTCTTCTTTGGTTTCAATCTTGAGTTTTGGAAGTCATTCATCCTAATTAAGATGAATGTTTTCCTAGAAGCTATTAAGGAAGATTAAGAAAGAATACCTGAAACCTTCTTTACATTTATAGAGTGCTATACACAGCGGGAGATGCTTGCAGCAGGAGACTTTCAAGACTATGCCATTCATTTTCATGATTTATTTATTTAGTATCAAAAGCATTGCATAAATTAGCATAAAACTGACAAAGGTAGAAGGTGTGCAGGTCGCTAAATATCTTTCGACCAAAAACGGGCAACAGCAACGGCATTGTCTGTAGCCTCCAACAATTCCTCCTCTGTATGCCGTGGGAATGCCGTGGATGTAGCGTACCTGGATTTCAGGAAGGCCTTCTTTGACAAGGTCCCCCATGACCTTCTGGCAAGGAAACTAGTCCAATGTGGGCTAGGCAAAACTACGGTGAGGTGGATCTGTAATTGGTTAAATGGACGAACCCAGAGAGTGCTCACTAATGCTTCCTCTTCATCTTGGAAAGAAGTGACGAGCGGAGTGCCGCAGGGTTCCGTCCTGGGCCCGGTCCTGTTCAACATCTTTATTAATGACTTAGATGAAGGGTTAGAAGGCAGGATCATCAAGTTTGCAGACGACACCAAATTGGGAGGAATAGCCAATACTCCAGAGGACAGGAGCAGAATTCAAAATGATCTTGACAGATTAGAGAGATGGGCCAAAACTAACAAAATGAAGTTCAACAGTGACAAATGCAAATACTCCACTTTGGCAGAAAAAATGAAATGCAAAGATACAGAATGGGGGACACCTGGCTCGAGAGCAGTACGTGTGAAAAAGATCTTGGAGTCCTCGTGGACACCAAGTTAAACATAAGCCAACAACGTGATGTGGCGGCAAAAAAAGCCAATGGGATTTTGGCCTGCATCAATAGGAGCATAGTATCTAGATCTTGGGAAGTAATGCTACCCCTCTATTCTGCTTTGGTTAGACCACACCTGGAATATTGTGTCCAATTCTGGGCACCACAATTCAAGAGAGATATTGACAAACTGGAATGTGTCCAGAGGAGGGTGACTAACATGATCAAAGGTCTGGAGAACAAGCCCTATGAGGAGTGGCTTAAGCAGCTGGGCATGTTTAGCCTGAAGAATAGAAGGCTGAGAGGAGATATGATAGCCATGTATAAATATGTGAGAGGAGGGAGCAGGGTTTCGTTTCGTTCATTCGTAATTCGTTAATAATTCGTTAATTTTTTCAATTACAAAATGATAACGAACCATTCTGGAGCAATTTTTTAAAAAAACGAATTTTTGAACACGTTTTGTAAATGCTTCGTATTTCGTTATTGTATTCGTTTTGTTATTGTTCTGAGGTTGTTTCGTTATTATTTCCGCATGTCTGGGGCAAGTTTTTTGTTTAATTAGTGAAAAAAAATTATAATATCACACCAACAGTCAACAACAGAGGGAGAGGGAAGCTTCAGAAGTTCCCTTTGGAGGGTTTTTTAGCGAATTGCGCAATCGCGTCCGCCATTAACGAATCGATTCGTTATTGTTTCGAAATTGTTTTGTAATTTCCGAAATTTTGTAAATATCGAACTTTTTTAAAGAAAATTTTCAGAATTCTTTTAAATAACAAAACGCAAAAAACCCCTAAAAACGAATCGAGTTTAGAAACAAATTTTCCAGTGGTTGCAAAGACATAGGAGAGGAAGTCATAGGGAGGAGGGAGCAAGCTTTTTTTCTGCTGCCCTGGAGACTAGGACACAATGGAACAATGGCTTCAAACTACAGGAAAGGAGATTCCACCTGAACATGAGGAAGAACTTCCTGACTGTGTGAGAGAGTTGTTCAGCAGTGGAACTCTCTGCCCCGGAGTGTGGTGGAGGCTCCTTCTTTGGGAGCTTTTAAACAGAGGCTGGATGGCCATCTGTCAGGGGTGATTTGAATGCAATATTCCTGCTTCTTGGCAGAATGGGGTTGGACTGGATGGCCCATGAGGTCTCTTCCAACTCTTTGATTCTATGATTCTATGATTCTGTACATGAGGCAGGGCACAATGGACAAGAATACAGATGCAGAGTTGTCTGTTCTGCTCCACAGTCACACAAGGTGTGGGGTTCTTTTAGGTAGTACTGTTTTGCTGGGTTGTCTCCTCTTGATGCAGGCCAACATCCCATTGTCTTTTTTTGCTGCCACACCACATTGTTGGCTCATGTTTAACTTGTTGTCCACGAGGACTCCAAGATCTTTATATTTTTCAAAATATTAAAATACACCATTCAAAACCGTACCAGTCATCCGCATCAAATCTAATATTTTGAACTGGTCATCTTTCCTATTGCCGCTTTATTGCCCTGTCCCGAAAGCTTGGTCCCACAGCCAAGTTTTTACCATCCTTCTAAAGGAGAGGGAGGGGGCTGACCTGATCTCACCAGGAAGGGAGTTCCATAGCCGGGGAGCAATCACCAAGAAGGCCCTGTCTCTCGTCCCCACCAATAGCGCCTGTGACAATGGCAGGACGGAAAGCAAGGCCTCCCCAGAGGATCTTAATCTCCGTGATGGTTCATAGGGGGAGATGCGTTCAGATACGTAATTTGGGCTGGGGCCATTTAGGACTTTATAGGCCAAAGCCAGCACTTTGAATGGTGCCCAGTAGCAAACTGGCAGCCAGTGGAGCTGACATAACATGGGAGTTGTATGCTCCCTGTATGCCACCCCAGTTATTCACCTGGACTATTTGAAGTTTCTGAGCAGTCTTCAAAGGCAACCCCATGTAGAGTGCATTGCAGTAGTCTACCCTAGATGTAACGAGAGCATGGACCACCGTGGCCAAGTCTGACTTCCCAAGGTATGGGCGCAGCTGGCGCACAAGCTGTAATTGTGCGAATGCTCCCCTGGTCACCGCTGAAACCTGGGATTCCAGGCTCAGTGATGAATCCAGGAGAACTCCCAAGCTGCGAACCTGCACCTTCAAGGGGAGTGTGACCCCATCCAGCACAGGTTGTGACCCTATACCTTGTTCGGCCTTGCAACTGACCAGGAGGACCTCTGTCTTGTCTGGATTCAACTTCAATTTGCTTGCCCTCATCCAGATCGTCACAGCTGCCAAGCACCGGTTCAGGACTTGGACGGCCTCCTTCGCATCTGGTGGAAATGAGGGATAGAGTTGGACAGAGTGATAGAGTTGAGTGACACATGGCAGAAGAGGATTGCATGGTCTTTGAGGTTCCCTTCCAATGAATGACTGATCATGGATTTCTAATCCCATTTAGGAGATATTTGGCTACAAGACCCAGGTCTTCCGGAGGGCCCTTTGCATTGCTGGCTACCTCTTCTCCTGCGGAGCCCTTCTGCTCCTCTTCTACTGGAAGCCAAACTGGGATGTCTGGGCCAACTGCGTTCCCTGCAACCTGGAGGAGGCCGATATTGTATTGTTACGGGCAACAGTAAGTGTATTTGCCACTAGTATGCATTTGTATCCATGTGTGTTATAGCTCAGGTGGGTTCTCCTCCAAGTTTGTGTCCACCTCCATTAAGGAGGGTTCTCATCCATTGTGTGGTCTTAGACATGTGCCCAGTTCCTTGGAGGTTGCATGCATGACTTTTTCTCCTAGAGCAGTTTCTCAACCTGGGGGTCGGGACCCCTGGGGGGGGGGTCGCGAAGGGGTGTCAGAGGGGTCACCAAAGACAATTAGAAAACACAGTATTTTCTGATGACCATGGGGTTTCGTGTGGGAATTTTGGCCCAATTCTGTCATTGGGGGAGTTCAGAATGCTCTTTGATTATAGGTGAATGATAAATCTCGGCAACTACAACTCCCAACTGTGAAGGTCTATCTTCCCCAAACCCCATCAGTGTCCACATTTGAGCATATTGAGTATTCATGCCAAGTTTGGTCCAGATGCATCTGTGCTCTCTGGATGTAGGTGAACTACAAAACACAAGGTCAATGCCCACCAAACCCTTCCAGTATTTTCTATTGGTCATGGGAATTCTATGTGTGAAGTTTGGCTCAATTCCATTCTTGGTGGAGTTCAGAA